CTCCCTTGGTTGAGTAGTGAGCCGCCCTGAGTCCCCTTCGGGGGAAAAGGGCAGCATATAAATAAAATAAACATTCAAACATTCAAAAAAGCAAAGTTTTACATATAATTCCAAGTAATGCAATCACTTTATAATGAAAGCGATATTTGGGGGTTAAAGGCTTTCTTGACAAAAAAAGTTTACCATCCGTGGAAAGCCATTTAGGGTGCAACAAAGCAAACTTACTCTTGCCTAAAAACAAGGCCATCTGTTTTTCAAGGCACTCAGAGCCAACGGTTGATGATTCATCTTCGTATTTTAAAGGGATGGGTATACTGGGGTCCGCTGCAGGAAGGTCACTTTCCTTCTTGACGCTACTATCAACCGATTTTAAGCCCTATCATTAAAGGAAAAAGTTTTTCAATACTGTACCAAAATGTACACATTAAAAAACTGTTAAATAGCACACTGCTCAATTACATCACTTACTTCAAGAACGTAGCTGAGTACTAGTCTGCATCGTTCTTCAGTGTCATGGCAAACAGGAAAGGCACAGCTAGGCTTTATAGAAAAGACAAAAGACATTTTCATGAAACTAGTGGAATCCAGCTTATATTCTCATTGAAAAGCGGTTCACCGACAAATGCGCGATAGACATATGCACGCCGACAAAACCGCAACGGACAAATGAGCGCCGTCAAAATTGCTAACTGATTTTTGACACTAGCGCGCCGACAAATGCGTGATGACAAAATCCCGCCATCAACAAACTATAGACAAACTATAACCCTAACCGTAATTTTTTCGATTTTATTGTGCTTGTCATTGCGCTTTTGTCATCACGCTTTTATCGTCGCGAATTTGTCAGCGCGATTTTGACGTCGCGTTTTAATCGGCGCTATTTTGTCGGCGTGCATATGTCTATTGTGCAATTGTCGGGTCACGTTGAAAAGCAACAGAGAAGCCACTCTTATAAAGAACATAAGCTTAAGATGAAATCAAGAGAACAATTGACTGCAGGATTTACTTTTCAATGGTTTTTATAGACACAATTAAGGGAGAGGTTTAATCTGGACAGAAAATCACCAGACATAGGACAGAATTAGAATTATATACAAATGAAAATTATGTGGTTTCTAATATGTATAAATAACTGTTGAGATTTGAAATGGAACCTTTTTTTTCACTAATTATTGAAAACAGTCCAGGAAGGCCGACAGAACCATCTACTTTATGTAGAAACTGTCTATTCAATATCTATGGGTTCAGAGATCATGTTATAAAGTCTTCCTCCCAAGGTGTCTGCAAATCCAGTATTCATAAGTAGAGCCTCTTAGTTGCACAGTAGTTCTCCTGCTCTGGAATACCTCAAACACACACCCCGAAGTAATGATGAACCCTTCCCTGTTGTCACTCCAGAAAGTTATGAATATAGTATTTTCCCAATGATCCTTTGCAGTAAGACTCTCATCAAAGACAACCAGAGGCAGAGGTGGTCATATATACAATCAAATGATATTGTGGGAGTTTGGGGGATTGTTTGAGAGTGTACGGATATAATCCATATTATGCATAGGGGGTCATACATGCCAATTTTTTAAAAACCCACATCTTTGGAATTAAGAACGAAGAAAGGAGAGAAAAAAAGTGGTAGGTTAACTGATTCATCTAATGTAAGTTTAAAAGGTTCTAAACAGCCAAAATGTTGATAGGGTTAGGGGTTAGAAAAAAATAATATGGAGTTATTTACTTGAAATAAATTATTTGGATATCTATTTTTGAAAGACATGTATGAGCCGAGGTGGCGCAGTGGTTAGGGTGCAGTACTGAAGGCCACTACAGCTGACTGTTATCTGCAGTTCGGCGGTTCTAATCTCACCGGCTCAGGGTTGACTCAGCCTTC